GGATTCCAACGCAAAAGGGAGAGTGAGATTCGGTCTTACTCTTCCTACTTGTAACGGGGTACGTAGCACTAAGTGTACCCTGGTTACATGAAGTGTGACACTTCACACTTCAGGAGTATGACATGTCATACTCCGGAATATTTGGTACAAGGTACCAAGGTCATTCAAAACCAACCATTGGTTAAATGACATTGCATTTCTATAGGTAACTGATAGTTTGTATTAACCTCAAACTTAACCTACCTATAAATATACTCAGTTTACAATCTACCTTATTTAGGTCACTTCGCTCTCTTTAATTAAAGAGGGGACCTGTGAACTGCCGTTCACTGAGAGTTTGTATACTCTCGGAAGATAACTTCCTCTAGCGCAAGGTGCTGTGTGACCCCGTCACACTTGGTAGCACTTGTAGTCAATCCACGCCATCGCGGGTAGACTACCTGAACCTCCGAAGTTCGTTGCCATGGATAGGAACGACTTCTCCCATATGAACGACTCTCAGTTCGAGTCGGTTCGGAAGATGGCAGGCATCTTCGGGATGAAGGCCCTGCAGAGCCTGGTGGTATCAACACCGGCTGAGCAGCTCGAGCGCGTCAATGCATTCGACGCGTACGAGCAGGGCCTCATCGCGCATGTGCGGGAGAACCTGCAGGCTCCGGCGGCGGAAGCAAACCCGCCTCACCCGAAGCCAATACGGCTGAAGGTAAAGCCGTATGAAGGGAAGGAAGGCGAGAACCTTCACTTCTGGGTCCGAGAAGTAGAGCTCGCGATGGACGCGGCTCTGATCTCGACCGAGCAACTGCGTGTTGCTTTTGCACTCTCCAACCTTAGCGGTCGTGCTAAGAGTTGGGTGTACACTCGGGAAGCGACATCCCCTGGATGTTTCACATCCTGGGCTCAGCTGTGCGAACAGCTCCGAGCCGCGTTCCTCCCGGCGAACTACGAGTACCGCCAGCGTTCGCGCTTCCTCGCGTGAAAACAAGGAAGGCGCGAACTGCACGAGTATGTGCAAGAGATACGGGAGCTCACGGCGTCCCTAGTGGGAAACCCACTCAATGAACACATCAAGATGACTGTGTTCATGGACGGCCTTCGAGTGGGCCCCGCACGCACTCAGCTGTTCCGGGTGCAGGCAAGCACCCTTGAAGAGGCGATTCAAGTGGCTCTTCAAGAAGAATACAGCCATCGCCAGGCGCGTACGCCGGCCTCAGCGTGGCCTGGGAGTTCCTTGTCGGCTCCCGGTCGAACAAGCCCCAACGGACCAGTTCCCATGGAACTCGGGTCCGCCGAACAGCGTGACATCCGCTGCTTCGGCTGTGGGAAGATGGGCCACTTCAAGCGCGACTGTCCCGCGGAAAGACTCCGCAGACGGTCCTTCCCCAAGCCCGTCCTCAAGGGTCGCTGGCAGAAGCCAGGATCCCGGGGACAGGGGAACGCAGGGAACCAGTAGGGGCGGGGCGCCCTACTAGGGAAGAACTAAGTCTTCGTGATGGGTGCGCGGGTGGCGCGTACCACGGGGACTTAGCCCCTGAGAGTCTTCGCACTCTCGAATCGGCGAAGAGCAGCGGCGGGTTGCTCGTAGTACACGGATGTGTACGGGGGTACGATCACCCCTTTAGAATCTTGATTGACTCTGGGGCGTCGAAGAATTTCGCACGCCGCCAGACGGTTGCTCGTAACAGCAACAAGTTGTCCGAAGCTTTGCGAGAAGGCAAGGGCAACGGGACGGTGTCAGTGCGACTGGCCGACGGGAAGGTCGTCACTGTCCCCAACGTCCAAGTGGATCTGGCTGTCAAGTTTGAAGACTTTGACAGCCTCGAACAGTTCACTGTTCTCGATATGGATCCATATGATATGATCCTGGGCATGCCCTGGCTTGAGAAGCACGAGCCCTGGATCGACTGGCGAGGCAAGGCAATCGGTGCCAGCCGCCCTGCGCAGTCCGACAGAGCATTGGTGAGTCATGTTCCCACC